GGTTGGGGCACTAAATGCTATCTTACCTGCTTGAGTTTGCCGACAACATTGCAAGAGGTCTCCGTCGATATTGTGGATCAGCTTGATTGCGCTTCTAGCCAGTACAAATATGGTACATCAATTTTGGACACCATGGTATGTGCTTTTGCTTTGAACAAGGATGCTTGCCAAGGTGATTCTGGTGGTCCACTGGTTGCTAACAATGAATTGGTCGGTGTGGTGTCTTGGGGTAATGGCTGTGCCAGATCTGCTTATCCTGGTGTATATTCTGATGTGGCTTCCCTCTATTCATGGATTGTGGCAGCTACTGAATAAATTCAAATATTTTCTTTGAAATAACAGCAAATAAAAAAWAACTACTAGCATAAAATGTATAAAATATTTGTTTTCTAATGCCCATGATTTATGGTAAGACGAGGGAAGTTGCTTGAGAAAAGTGACAGTGAGCCTTTCCAYTCTTGATTCGAGGCTTAGAAGGAAGGTTGGAGCAGGGCCTTTTGAAAGATACTTTCTGTCAAGTATGGTATTTGAGATCATTTAGGATCACTGTAGTGTTTTTAAAGTAGATGTGGCTGTCATTAAGGTATCAGTAGTGGTATTGCTCTGAAKTGTAGCCTCTAGTATGGAGGATGTCATTCACATTGACAGCAGGGTAGTAATACTAGCTTTACAATCGCATACTATGCGCTCAAAGTTAGTCAATGAGTTACTGTACTCACTATTGATAGCATAACGCTACTGCATTATCAGAATGATTTAGAAGAAGGGTCATAATGGAATCATTTAAAACTTGAAAGTCGATGTGCTTGCAAGAAGGTCACATTTGTCCCTTTTATATTAGATTGAGAATGAGCTATTGTACTTCACGAGAGTTTAGCAGGCGCTGGTCATAAACTAGCTCTAGAGCTGCTTGTAGATCATTCTGCTCTAGAGTAGAATTCAGGAGATCCACTGAACTTCTCACCCTTAGCAACTTTCGTCTTGATTTCACCGCGTTCAAGCGGTAATACTGACCTGTTGGGCGATATTTGACAAAGTTGTCTGGCGGAAAGTGAGGTTTATAAGACTGAGGTTGAGACAACCCGACAGTCGGAATGAAACTTGTCAATTTCGAAAGCCTTCTTGATCAATACTTTGCAGAATTTAGGTATCACAATGGACCGGGATGCTCAACAGTCCAAAGGGAATCAGGTTTTGATCGACCTTTAAAGCCTAACCGAATTGAAGTTGTAAAAAAACAAAATTTACTTAGATGAAGTATTGTTTTAGGCGGTAAAAGAAATTACTATATAAATCGGTTCTTAAATAGATCAACGACGTTTGTAAATGATAAATACAAAATAAACTTTTCTCAGAAGAGCCTAGTTTCAGTTGAGGTGTTAATTAGAAGAAAGAAGTCTAATACACATACATATATCCTCTAAAACTATATTTAATATCGAAATTTTCGAAAAATTCCTTCTTATTTTTGTTTTGCTTTTGTAAAAAGTATTTTAAACTTAAATCCAAAAAACGTATTTCGTAGAACCTATTTGAACATAACTATCTCCGCAAAATAATACGTTGGTGTAAACTGGATCGACCAGGACTTCTCCGAGACGTACGATTGCAAACGAGATTTCAGACAAGGCGACTACCGCTGGAAAAAATATTTCGAGCTGCGAGCTGAATCGAGAAGGCACAATCTTCTATAAGAGTACACAGCTGCTGGCGTACGCCGATGATATTAATATCATATAGTGAACGAGGGTAAGACGAAATATCTCCTGTCATCAAAGAAATAGTCATTGCACTCATGACTTGGCTACCACCTTACTGTTGATACTCAYAACTTTGGTGTCGCAGATAATTTCGTCTATCTTGGAACCAGTATTAACACCAATAACAATGTCAGCCTCGAAATTAAACGCAGAAAAACTCTTGCCAACAGGTGTTACTTTGGACTGAGTAGGCAATTGAAATGTAAAGTCCTCTAACGACTTACAAAGACCAAACTCTATAAGTCACTYTGTGTGCTGTGTCTATGCTAATAAAGGAAAAGGAGAATTTGAAAAGAATTAATATGACATTGAAACAGTTTCAAAAAACTTTACGAACAAATGATAGCTTTTTATTGTAAGCTAACCGATTTCTTATGTATTTAGTAAATTTAAAAAATCTCTATTTATACTTAGWATCTATAAAACATAAATTCATCATGTCTCTGATAAAATCAGCGCTTTTACAATGCTATCGAACGTCAAGAATTAAAATGTCAAAAGTCCACACGTCTGCGCTTACTTCAAAGATAGCACTGCATACCGTACTGACATGGCTCATGTTAGACTAGACTTAGATAAAGCGTTTGCCAATTATTCATAGACATCTGTCATTCTTTGGAAAAACTCGTTAGCCCGGCCTGCGSTGCCGCTATGCCTGATGACTTAGATGGGCGCATTGTTAATGGTGTAGACACCACCATTTCTCAGCACCCTTATCAGGTGTCATTGCAAACTGTCAGCGGTTCACACTTCTGCGGTGGTAGCATTATCAATGAGAAGACCATCGTCACCGCCGCTCATTGCTTGCAAACCTACTCAGTTAGCCAAATACGCGTTCGTTTGGGCTCAACAAATTACAAGACCGGCGGTGAATTGGGTGCTGTAAGCTCATTCACCTACCATCCAGGATACAACCTGTCTCTTATACACATCTAGATGTGTATAAGTGCGTTTGGCTACACCAGTCGCTGAATCGGCAAACATTCGTTACATAAAATTGGCGCAGACCACACCAGCAACCGGAACCCCAGCTGTGGTCACYGGTTGGGGCACTAAATGCTATCTTACCTGCTTGAGTTTGCCGACAACATTGCAAGAGATCTCCGTCGATATTGTGGATCAACTTGATTGCGCTTCTAGCCACTACAAATATGATAAATCAATTTTGGACACCATGGTCTGTGCTTTTGCTTTGAACAAGGATGCTTGCCAAGGTGATTCTGGTGGTCCACTGGTTGCTAACCTAACAATGAATTGGTCGATGTGGTGTCTTGAGGTAATGGCTGTACCAGATCTGCTTATCCTGGTGTATATTCTGATGTGGCTTCACTCTATTCATGAATTGTGGTAGCTACTTGAGTTTAATTATTTTCTTTGAAATAACACMAAATAAAAAAGAAATACCGTCGTAAAGTTTGTGTAAGCTTTGTTCACGATTTATGGTGATATAATGGAGGGTCTATCTGAAGTTTTCGAGTATATGTAAAGTTTTATTCATACATTCACATTAACATTACATTTTAATCAATCTCCAAACTGATAAAATTCATTTATATTGTTTGCTTTAGGATTCCATAAAGCTTCATTGATAGTACGAGGGTGCTTTTGCAGGTCTGTATAATTTGTATATTTCTGTATATTTTCCGGCTTGTTTTGTATAAATTAGCTTGCTAGTTTCGAGAATATTTGTAATTGTTCGAATCAAAGATACCCTTTTACTGATTTGTTTACATTACTGGGCAAGCATTATGTTAAGCATTATACCAGAATGCACTATTTTGTATACGAACAAACCTTAGTGAATGTTATTTGATTTCTGGCCTGTATTAAATCCGTTTATTTACATTTTTTATCCATCGCACGTACGCACTGATAATACAGACATTTTTAGATTTTACAATGTAGAGCATTATCTATTGTGCCATAAAAATCCGACACTATAAATATTGATCCTCACAAGTAGCCTTAGTTTAGTAAAGCAAAACCATGTTACGCCTTACAATTCTTTGTGCATTTCTCACCACTGTATTCGGTGCGTACATGTCAACCGAACTAGCTGGACGTATTGTTGGGGGAGTCGCCACTACTATCGAAGAGCATCCTTACCAAGTTTCACTCTCTACGAAGTTGGGCGGCCATTTTTGTGGCGGGAGCTTAATAGCGTCTAATATTGTCGTCACTGCCGCACATTGCCTGCAGAGCTTCAAAGCCACCAGTATACGTATACGTGCCGGTTCGACCAACAATAAACGAGGTGGTCAAGTTATAAATGTTGCGGCTGCTAAATATCATCCAGCTTATAATCCCAGTACAATTGAAAATGATGTGGGCATACTGAAACTAGCGACGCCAATACAGGAATCAGAAAGTGTTGGTTATATAGAGTTGGCTAAGACGACACCGCCTACCGGCACGCCAGCTGTGGTAACGGGTTGGGGTACCAAGTGTTACAGCTGGTGCTTGATACCGCCCACCACTTTGCAGGCCGTCGAGCTGGATATTGTACAGCGTGAAGATTGTGCTTCCAGCGCTTACAAGTATGGCGACCTGATAAAGGAGAGTATGGTGTGTGCTTATGCATTGAAGAAGGACTCTTGCCAGGGCGATTCGGGTGGTCCCTTAGTGGCGGATGGTAAACTTGTTGGTATCGTATCCTGGGGTTATGCGTGCGCTAAGAGAGGTTACCCGGGTGTTTATAGCGACGTTGCCACACTTCGTAATTGGATTTTAAATGCAATTACTGAAATTTGAGAACATTTTAAGGAAGCGATGAAGCATTAAAGGGGAATAAAACACATTTTCCTCAATAACATCTGGTGCTGATTTTATTGTTTGAATTGTTTTATTGCTGATGTTTTTATTCTTTGCCTAATATTTGATATCAATGCTTCTGGAAGTAACTGTTCATATATTTCGRTTTTATTATAATTTATGGTTACATACTACGTAGACTGCGATTATAAATGTACTCGAGTGATTAAAGTTTTCGGCAATTTTTTTTTCTTTTGACCAACACAATTATTCGTTATAAAAATGTTTCACATACTCCTTGTYAAACAGTTTACTTGATAGCCTTCTTCGTCATGCAACGGTTTTTAGTGTTTGGTGCTCTACTTAGCACGGGCTTGTGCTCTTTCATTTCTGATAAATTCAGTGGACGTATTGTTGGTGGTGTGGACACTACTATAGAACAACATCCTTATCAGATTTCCTTATGGCTGGTTGAAGAACAACAGCACTTCTGCGGTGGCAGTCTTATCAGTGAGAACTTTGTGCTCTCAGCCACTCACTGTCTACTCGGCCTTGAACCATATGAACTGCGTGTACGCTTAGGTTCGACGAACTCAACCGATGGCGGTCTCTTAGTCGAAGTAGCCGCTATAAAGACACACGCTGGTTTTAGTGCTATTACTGCAATGAATGATATTGCTTTGTTGAAATTGGAAAAACCTGTGGCTCAGACGAATAGCATTCGCTATATCGATCTCGCCGATGCGGTACCAGCAACCGGCACGCCTGCTGTAGTCTCCGGTTGGGGTATCAAGTGTAGCTTGTGCTTTAGAACGCCAGTGATTTTACAAGCTGTAGACGTCAATATTGTACAACGTGAAGATTGCGCCTCAAGTACTTATAAATATGGCGATCAAATCCGAGAATCTATGGTTTGTGCTTATGCATTGAAGAAGGATGCCTGCGATGGTGATTCAGGTGGTCCGTTGGTGGCAGAAGGCAAGTTGGTTGGTGTTGTGTCGTGGGCAGAAGGCTGTGCCAAAAAGGATTATCCTGGTGTTTACGCCAGTGTACCAGAATTACGTCAGTGGATAGCTAGCGCTATATCGGAGTTATCGAGTGAGGAGGCATTGAGAGTTTCTTATTTGTAAAATTCTAACTTTCTTAAAAAGTCAGTAAATATTGTTGAAATGTGCTAATGCACTCCCACAATTAATTTGTGGAAGTGTGAGATTAAAAATCGATTATTATTTCAAGGAAATGTTTCTAGGATTGTTAATCTTATCGCGTTGAGGAGGTTCAGTTTRTGTAGATGCAATTACTGGTAAAGCCTCCAAAGCCGGTAAAGTCGAATACGATCACTGCAACCAAAAGCAATTCACATATAAACTAGGAACTCTGGGTTAATAAGTTTCTGCTAATACTTTTTTGAGTATCCAAGTGAAATGCGCCACCCTATTCATGCTTTCTATATAAGTGTGTATAGCTTTATCTCCACCTCCAAGTCATTTTATTGCTTGATAAATGTGTACACGGTACACTACTGTTTATTAATTTATTTTGGACTCAAATTTATTGCGTTAATTGATCGAAGGGTAATCAACCGCATTTGAAATGAATTGGCATAGCTATCTAAATAAGCAAAAAATAGACTATAAATAGTGTAAGGAGAGAGCATTTATATACCCAATTAAGAATCGGTTACTTATTTACTAAGAGAATTATGCATTATATTTGAGTCATGTGTTTACATAAAATTTTCGACTGCATTGTTGTAATATAAAAAATTTTTCTTAACGATTAAGTAGCSGCTTAAAGTCGGTTATATACTCTAATCGTAATAATGCGGTGCGGATGATGAGCTATGGCCGATGTTATCAAATTCTAATGAATTACCTAACACAAAAATTTATTTTATACTCCATATAGGTCTTAGTCTCGAACTTATGACTACTATGTACAAGGTTTGTGGGGAAACTGATTTTCTTCCACCGCGACTGTACTTCGAAGCGTGCGCGCACCGACTGGATTCGGCAGAGGGCGTTCCTAGCTAACGAACGAAGAGCTGAGGTAGACGATTAAATTCTGTGTAAAATTCGGTAAATCTGCGACAGAGACSTTTGATATGATCAAGCAGGTTTACCCAGATGTGCTGTGTTTCGGTGGCACCAGGAATTTTTTTAGAGGCGCAGATGAATAAAGAAATCCAACATGAATTTGTTACTCCTGGACAAACCGTCAACGCCACGTTCGTGAATTGGGCTGAGCAACAACTTGAAAATGATCCGGATTTTCATCGAAAATTTATCTTCAGCGATGAKGTTMATTTCTGGCTGAATGGCTTCGTAAATAAGAAAATTATGCGTTATTAGTCAGACAGCAATCCACACATACTCCATAAGTCACCATTGCATTACGTTTTGTTCCGGTTTATGGGCGGGCTCATTTGGCTGTACTTCTTCCGTGATGATCAAGACCGGCACGTTACTGTGAATGGGAATCGCTACTGTCAATGATTACTGAATATTTTTGGCTCGAATTAGATTATGTGGACTTGGGCAATATGTGGTTCCAACAGAACGGCGCCACAAACCATACAGTGAATGTCACAATTGATTTATTGAAAACCAAGTTTGGTGAATGTGTAATTTTGGTTTGATTTRACGCCGTTAGATTATTTCCTGTGGATCTACGTCAAGTATATGGTCTATTCCAATAAGCTAGCGACGATTAATGAATTTCGTACAAATTTCGAGCGCGAAATGGTAACAGTACCGGCTGATTTATGCTTGAAAACCGTCGAAAATGGGTTCAGCGACTGGAATCCTGCAAGCGTGCCCATGATTTAAGAAGAACAACTACAAGTACAGGAGWTATATTGCTATATGGCAGTATTWTGGACCAAATTGTTGGGATTTTCTTTTTTATTCACATTCAGAATCCTTTCTCTCTTCCATCTTGGCATTCATTTCRATTGTTCTGCAATTCATTCAAGATCGCCATAAACCTAGGAAAGTTTCAAACGAAAGTGCGTTCTATTTTTTAACTAACGCTATAAACCATAAAACAAAAGCAGCAATCACAACAGACAGCCRAACGATTTTCTACTCTGCTTGCACTCCTGCTCTCTGAGAGCACTCGTCCACAACTCGGTATAAGAGAACTGTGGGACGGTATTTCAAACTCCCTACGTACAGCTGCAACC